AAAAAAATGGTATAGGTTTCAATAAGATACTCAAAAGTGACTTGCTGGAGAGTGTAGGCCTCAATCCGTGGTTCATTCACAATATTTTTTCGTATTAAAATCACACCAAATTTTTGGTGAAATACAATGACAGCTACTTTTGTTGTGAATAGCCCACCTTTAGGTTTTCAGAGTGATTTAGTCTGTAAAGTTTACAGTGCACTGTAAGAGTGTTTACATGTATGAACAGTGTTTACATGCAAACAAAATGTCTAATAAATATACTGATGACGAATTCAATTTGTGTGCTTTCAATTTCAATATTCTTAATATTATAAAAATGTGCAATTCATTAGATCGATTCATAGGTAGCCACGGAAATTGACTTTTTTTCAGGTTATTTTATACATTTTCATGTAAATATTGCTTGATGTATCATCAAGCATTAAAATCGTTTTCAGCTTGTTTTTTTGTTTGTACCAAGCAGAACTCAGCAAAGTAAAAAGAACACAATATTCTCTTCACTTTGAATAATTCAATGGACCCAATCATACATGGGCACAGGGGGGTGTAACGTGTAAGCCCGGAGGACACCGGAAAATTCTTCCGATTTGGTAGGGTTTTTTGCGAAAAAAGGGAAGACCTTTTTTTTTGCTCTTCAAGCTTGTGAGGAATTGAAAAATCTTAAAATCTTTCAAATTGCTAGGGTTTTCCGCGAATGTCTTGATTTGCTAGTGGCCGGTGGCGATTTCAATACTAAACACTATTTATGATGTTGATGCAAAATTAATGGAAATATTCTTGATGCGTAATATTTCTTTTATTCATTCAAATTTTGAAAATAAATTTATGGATTTAATTTGCATCGCCAGCAACGGAGTGAAGTAAAATGCTAAAAGAATAGCAAGATATAAATATTCAACACATGCACACTGTAATAAAGAATAGTTTGCAATCTCATTTGACTCAATTTAAAACAAAAACTGTTGACGATATTCTTAAATCAATATGCATACATTTTTGCGTTTGCAACATATTAGCAAAATGAGATAAATCGATACATCTATGAAATTTGAATTGCATAAGCCATCATCATTATCGTCAATTCGCCCACCTATAACGAATTTCCATTTAAGTCATTGATCACATTCGGTTCGTATTTATTTTTCGCGTGTGTCTAATACCGGTATTCATTCAGTTTTGCAAATGCTCTTAACTGACTTTTAGAGGCCAAATATTCCTGGAAAAAAAGTTGAATGGGGAATAGATAAAAATATATATCGATCAATTTAACTAGGAAAAAAGGTAACCAAACTGGTAAAATGATCGCGATTTTTTAAGTTTTCATTGGGATTATGCATTTATGGAATAAAAATATTCCACATTTCCTGTACCGAAAAATAATACTGCGATGTGGTTCGTGAATAATTTGTTTCATTCGGAGGTCGATCTATCCGTCGATCCTAAAATATTAGTAAATTAATAAATTTGGTATCTAATGCCGGGTCCAATGTAAATGTCCAAAAAACGAAAAAAACATGATTTAAACTCAACCTTAGTCTGAACTCAATGATCGAAAAAAATGTGTGTGACAAGTATTTCATCTTCATCGAGTGATGTGAATAAGAATTGCAAGCATGACGTTATTGATACTACAAAAGATTCACATGCATTTTTTTCAACATTTTGTACACTATCACTTTTCAATGAGGCTAGCCATGTTCTACTAAGTAAATAAACAGTGTTTTGTGTAGATGTGTCGAAATGAATTTCAATCAACTGTGTTATTGATTCTATAGATATGATTTAATTTTTTTTTACAAAAACAGAGAAAAATATTCATAAATTCAATGTATCCGTTTCTTTCCATAAATTTCTGTAATAAAACAGAAATTGAAAGTGCGTATTGATTTTCAGCTCTCAAGTTTTCTTTGTTTGTGTATTTTGCGTGAACAGAGGTTTCGAGAATCATTATGAATAATCAATTCAGCTTCAAACTAAATGTTATGCAAATATTAATGGTCCACAGCTGAATATTTAATGTTGAACAGAATATTTTATTCAAATAATTTGGCTACGAATACCACTCATTTCAAAGTTTAATAGCTGCGTATTGAAGCTGTAATATAGCTATATAAATGGAAATGTTTTTTTGAATTGTACAGTCTCAACTTACAGATGGCAGTCAAAAAGTTGCATGTTTATGGTTGCTTCTGTGAAGCTGGTTTTGGAAAGTTGACCGTATTCACGGGCATTCTAAGCGCCATGAGGATGAACCAACTTTATGCATCGACACTGTTACCCACCGCCAAGAAGTTCTATGGCAACGGTAATTCGAATTGGCTTCTACTAGAAGATAATGATCCGGAACACAAGAGTCGTCTCTGCACCGCTTGGAAAGAGGAAAATGGCATTCGACAGATGGACTGGCCGCCACACTCGCCTGATTGCAATCCGATCGAGAACGTTTGGGCTATTATTAAGGCAAGGCTTCGTGGTAAATCACACCGCAATTTGAAGCAGCTCAGTTCATTCATTCAACGCCAGTGGAAAGGTTTTCAAAGCGAATATGCTGAAAATTTGAGCAAAAGTATGCCCATAAGCTGTGCCCGTGTGATCGAGAAGGGTGATTGGATTAAATATTAATTATTGTCGGCGTAGCTTAGAGACCAAATAAGAAATATATAAAATAAATTTGTAAAACTCGTGAGTTTTATTAAAATTTTGAAAACTTATGGATAAAGAAACGTACTGTATATTCTTTATTGGAAATTTATAATCTACATTCTATTTGACACGAAAATGACCACCAAAATGGTTAAGAGCGTTACATTTTACAACGTTAAAATGGATAAAAACGTTACAATCATATGATTATGAAAGAAAAGAAGAAATTTAAATAATTTTTATTTACAAAATGCAACCAATTGTCTCAATAATTCTCCATATATGAAAATTTAGCCAATATGTGATCATTTAAATATTTTATAATTTTGTGTTTCAATATGCGTATATATGGCTGGTTCACCAAGGTAAGCAAAAAACCTATAAATTTAGAGGAAATTAAAAAAGCGTTATTCTTTTTCAACGTTAAAATACTTTCTTCTTAGTTGATTTTTTCTTTACTATGTTTGATTTTCTGTCATTTCAACACTATCTGCAGACATTACATGTAATTTGGCATATTGACAAACTTTAAAATAAGCCAATCACGCAAATAAACTGGGCTGTATTTAAAGAGTTTGTGATAGATGGCATATCTAAAATTAGATAGAAGATTATTATTATTATTATATCATTTTTGTGTTACATGTTCACAAATGTTTTCAATACAAAAACCTGAATGGTTCGGATTTATAGATGGCACAAGGTGTGTAATCGATAAGAGCATTTCGAAATTCAGTGAATAAATTACCATCTGAAATAATTTGAATGGGTTTGTTGCCACAAAATTGGTTTAAATAATTATTGTATCTTTTAAAATAATCGCCATAAAAATCTATTTGCTCGTCGGTAAATGAAGTTAACATTTCGGAAGTGTACTGTTTTTGACGTGCTGTTATATTCGTACCTAGAGTAGAATAATCAAAAATAATCAAAACATTCAAAACAATCAACAATTAATCGGAATATTTAGAACAAATAATGAAAATCAAATTGCAAAATACAATATAAAGAATACATATTAGTATACACCCTCCAATCCAAAAGTAACCGAACTTTTTAAAATAATAGATACCAGTGGCGCCACCTACTGGATATTATATGCGTTAGAAAGGTACTTGCCTCACTGACATTATGTCCAAGTTTCATAAGGAACGGATCACTGACAGCCAAGTTATTGCGTCAGATATTTTAGTATATTTAAGGCTCGGTTCAAGGCCGAAAATTGAACACAGAATTGTTATATCTCAAGTGAAAATAGAGAATTGTGCAATGTACATTATAGTTTTTTTGTTGACAAATGACTGAAAAATGAGCAAGAGCAATATCGTGAAAAAGTGACTTACTGTCTATTTCATGTTCTAGAGACTCTATACATCTGACTACCTGCAATAATCGTTATTGATTATTCAAAAGATAGGTCCTCAGTTAATATTAGGCTCATCAGAGCGAAATATTCGATGATCGGTTCCACGAAATTCACAGAAAATTGGTCCACGAAATTCACAGAAAATTGGTCCACGAAATGAGAATATCCTGAAAATTTGACTTTTTCCAAAGATGTCGATATGCGAAGCATGTACCGATATAGGATCTCGTGTCTTAGCTTTTCTAGCTTATAGACAGCATGAGCAATCATAATAAAATGGTTTTTGAAATATCTAATTCGTTAAAACTTTCAAAATTTATCACAAAAGTTGATTATTTTTTGTTTAAAATTCATTTTGTCACCGAGAGCAAAAGATACTAAAAAATAAGACGCAATATCTTGACATGTTTACATCCGATCCTCATGAAACTTGGACATAATGTCAGTGGGGCAAGTACCTTTTCTAACGCATATAATATCCAGTAGGTGGCGCCACTGGTATCTATTATTTTTAAAAAGTTCGGTTACTTTTGGATTGGAGGGTGTATATAAATACTGGACCGTTTTTTTTTTTTGCGATTTTTTAGCTATCATTTTTGTTTAAAAACATTGATTTAATATTAAAAAAAGACTAATCTCTGTGATCTCGAAAAATGAAAAAATCGATTTAAAAAAAAAACAATTGTAAACTTTTAAGACAAAGTCGCCCTCTCAAATTGAAAGATATGCACAAAAGAAGTATACAATTTTATACTCAATGTACAGCTCAAAAAATACAAAGAAACGGTCAAGTCCAATATACAGAAGAGCAAAGCAACCACGCATTTGCAACAACATTGCCTTAATTAAAAAGGCGGTCAATGATAAAGTATCCACAATTGGAAAAATTTTGATTTTTTCGAATTTTTGTGTAATAAAGATGCATAAAGATACACTGGCTTAGTACTTTTCCGCACACCTTACTAGGTATGTATGGCTAAAAAATTAAAGTCACTTCAAAACATGTTTTCTATGCATATTTTAGAGGCGATTCTGGGGCATATTAATGTTTATCGCTGTATAGCATGTGCGGTGTATCCTCTGGCGTGTTGCCAAAATGTCCATATTATGCATGATAGATCATCACACAGAAAAAATATTCAAAATCTGATTTTACTGGATGATTATGGACTGCGAAGAGTACATCTGGTCAAATTTTGAGCGACATTAGTTCACCAGTGTAAAAAGTGGACCCATAGGGGTATCCCTTGAAAATATTAGTTTTCCACGATAACCCAGACTGTGATCAGACGGTGAATAAATACATAACCCCTTCTTCAGAGACGTTATTTAATATCTGACTCTACTATATGATTCGAGAACAACTGGTGGGGACAACTTTTTTTGGCAAGAATTTGACAAACAAAATAATTTTTGATGAATTTGACGTTAGTTTTAAGATGAAAACAATTTTTCACTTTCCTTACGAAAATCCACAAAAAAACATATTTTTGTATGGGAGCCATGCCTTTATGGTACCGTAATGGAGTGAAACTTTGCACAGGTTTTTTTTCCACAGAAGAATAATATTCTGAATGTTTGAAAAAATTTCAATGCAAAGAAGGGATTGCGTACGTAAGCCTACTTATTTTTATGCTTAAATCATAAAAATAGAACTCACATGAATCATAAAAACAGGACATAAATTACCGCTGTGTTAATAAGCTTAAGACTTGCGCACATCATTTTCAGACAATTATTATCATTGCGGATCAGAAAACCAGAAAAATAAGTTTGTGAAAATAAGGGGCCCAATTGGGGTACTAGGGGCAGGGGAGTACCCCACCATGTCAAAAATTCATCATATCAAAAAAAAAGTACTTCAAAGTTGTTCAGAATGACGAGAGACATTTTTAGGACTCCTGCCCTCCCATTTCATTGTGATTTCACAATGGGATATTCACCACTTTGTATGACTCAAATGGGCATACGTGTTTCTTCCCATGAAAGTTGCGCATACCAATGTAATTTCCATTGACATATAGTTTTGGCTGCCCTGAATGACCCAGTTCGGAGGGCGGGGATCGAGATAATATAAAAATAAACCCGGGTCGAAAAATGAAAAAAAATTATATGTATTAGTGGACATTTTTATACCCAAGGAGCTCAAAGAGACCACTATGTGAACAAAAAATGTTCGTCCCATTAAGGGCTACAACTTTGCCAAAGAAAGCAATCAAATAATTTGTGTCGTTTACGAGGTATAGTGATGCTATGAAACCCCCAAAAGGGGGTATTTCAAACTTCAAAGGGCCGCATATTAATTTGGGGAACATTTTTTGATGCCAAATGTCTTATTTTGGACCCCTTCACCCTAGCCTTCACCACATCCAGCAGGAATTTTGAAAATCTGAAGTGACACGCTGGGGATGTTGAAACAAAATTCTGATACGCTGAGCATGTTTACTAGTCAGCAATTCGTTTGCCGTCGCGACTTAAAATATATAGTTTCTGTGGTCACTGGTCAAAATATATAGTTTCTTACATTCTAAATTTTTTTAATCATCGCTCACTCATCCACACAAACAATCTAATTCACTATTTACATCACAATAATTTGCAAAACTCATTTAACATATTAGAATTTATGTTATTAGAATGTGAATGAAGATTGTGAAAATAATCAAAAGAATCAATAAGAATTATTAAGTAATAGAAAAGATATGAATGGGTAAGAATAATCATGACCTCCAAACATTCTTTAAAAAAATACCAATACAAGACGATGAATTAAAATAAATGAGATACTAGCTCGCTTTTAAAATAAATCTGATATTTGAAAGATATTGAAAATAAAAGTGGTAAAAACTAATTTGTGCATTATACCGAGTCTCCGAGAGTTTCATAAAAGCCTTCCCATGTAGATGGTAAAAAATCGTGAAAAATGAAGAAAATAATTAAAAAAAATTTCTTCGATTTACAAATATTATTCAATTTTCTGTACCATCTGGTGAAAAAAATCGCATTCCTTATCACCCAAATCACGATTGGCATTCGGTCACTATTCAATAGGTGTTACATAGGAAGTTTATATGAACCTCTCGGAGACTCGGTATAGAGCACTCCAAAAGTGAAAAAAATCCAGATCTTGTTTTGCATGATAAGGAACGCGATTTTTTTCATTCTGATTTCACCAGGTGATACAGAAAGTTGAGTGGTATTTGTGAATTGAAGATAATAACAACCGGCTAAGCCTATGAAGAGACAAAATGCGAATTCCCCTCATCTGTGCCATCTTGTATTCCATAGTTGAACTCAATTTAGTTACAATGAATTGAATCGAAAAAGAGAAAAAAAACAACAACAGTAACATGGCTACGTAGATCTGTTAACCAGTGAGATACGTATAACAATGGAATGAAAGAATGAAGAAAGCGTATATGTGTATGTATGCATCAGCACGCATAGATGTAAAGCTCTGTGTGGCCGTGCTATTGTTGTTGTTTTTTCACTTTTTCATTTCAATGCTACAGAATTAAATT